GAGCCAAGAAGTGCATTTTTTTGGGCTTTGCTAATGGAGTAAAATGATATAAACTCCTTGATTTACAATCTAATGAGGTTTTTTTGTCCAGGGATGTTTGTTTTTATGAAGGCATATTCCCTTTTCATGGCTCACAACACAAGCAGTGCAGTGATATAATTCTACCTCTTGAGAAGTCAGATAATTCAGACCTTGATGAAGGTCCTGCACAGCCACAATCTCCAACTCATCAGCTTATTAATCCTCAGCCACACTTACCTACCATTGACCAATCTCAACATCAGCCACAACCACCTACAACAGATCACCATATAGACCCTATTGCAGAACCTACAAATACTTGCCAACCAAGAAAGTCAACCAGAAAAAAGGTCCCTCCTACATATCTAAATGATTATACTTGCCATAATACCTCTGCCAAAAGAACATCTCCTCATACCATCACTAAGGTCCTTTCTTATGATCATCTATCACATGGTTTCAAAGCCTTTACTGTCAATTCCTTACAGGCCAAAGAACCAAAAACCTACAATGAAGCCATCAAAGAAGACTGTTGGAGGAAAGCAATGGAGGCTGAGATCTGTGCCTTGCAAACAAATAATACATGGATAGTGACAGATTTACCTCCAAATAAAGAGCCTATAGGCTGCAAATGGGTGTACAAGACTAAGCTCAAGGCAGATGGAACCATAGAAAGGCACAAGGCCAGGCTAGTAGCAAAAGGGTACACCCAAACTCCTGGTCTAGACTACCTGGAAACCTTTAGCCCAGTTGCAAAAATCACTACCATTAGAATGTTGCTGGCAGTGGTTGCAATAAAGGGATAGTCCCTTCATCAATTGGATGTTAACAATGCTTTCTTGCATGGTAATCTGAATGAAGAAGTGTACATGAAGCTACCACCTGGTTTTGTCCCTCTGAAACCTGGACAAGTATGCAAGCTAGTAAAGTCCCTTTATGGGTTGAAACAAGCAAGTAGGCAGTGGAACATCAAGTTAACTCAAGAACTGTTGCATATAGGCTTCAAGCAGGCAGTTTCTGATTCATCTTTGTTCACCAGAGGGAATGGAGAAGACTTTGTGGCCTTACTCATCTATGTTGATGATGTGGTGGTAGCAAGCCCCAACATAAGCCTGGTCCAAGAAATTAAGAAGCATCTGGATAATGTCTTTCATATCAAAGATCTAGGACCATTGAGGTTCTTTCTGGGGTTAGAAGTTGCAAGAAGTAGCAGTGGGATTGCCATGACACAAAGAAAATATGCACTGGAGCTACTTGAAGAAGCAAATTTTCTATTGTGTAAACCAGCAAAAACTCCCATGGTTACCTCCATCAAATTCAGTAAAGGCAGTGGTGACAAACTTGAGGATGCTACTCCTTATAGAAGGCTAGTTGGTAAACTACTGTATCTTACCATTACTAGACCTGACATCAGTTATGCCACTCAACAATTGTCTCAGTTTTTGGATTGCCCTACCACCATCCACATGCAAGCAGCTCACAGAGTTCTGAGATATATCAAGGCTTCCCCAGGACAAGGGCTCTTCTTCTCAGCAAACTCCTCTCTACATCTAAAAGGATTTACTGATTCTGATTGGGCTGCTTGCCCAGATACTAGAAGGTCTATTACAGGTTTCTGCATTTTCCTTGGAGCATCCCTAGTCTCATGGAAATCCAAGAAACAAGTCACAATCTCTAGGAGTTCTTCTGAGGCAGAATATAGGGCCTTGGCTACAACAACTTGTGAGCTACAATGGATATTGTATCTTCTGCAGGATTTGGGCATACCTGACATCACTTCTGCTACTCTATATTGTGACAACAAGTCAGCAATTGCTATAGCTGAGAATCCAGTTTTCTATGAAAGGACTAAACATATAGAGATTGATTGTCATTTGGTTAGAGAGAAGCTGCAGAATGGAGTCCTAAAGCTACTACATGTCTCCACCACCAATCAAATAGCAGATGTGTTCACTAAGCCACATGCTCACACTACCTTCCATAACTTCATCTCCAAGCTGAAATTACATGACATGTATATTCCAGCTTGCGGGAGGGGGGGGGGGGGGGGGGGGGGGTGTTAGCTCACACAGTTGACAAGTGAGATCAAAGAAGTAAAAGTCAGTTAAAGTTAGTTAGGAAGTTAGAATAGCAGTTTGTTATCTTCTTCTTCTTTCCCGTCACTCTTGTACTGGCACATATAAGTCTTCTTCTTTGTTCTTGATTCATTTTTTGTATTCATTCTTCAATCAATACAGAGTCTCTCTTCTTCCCCATTACATGTTACTCAACATTAATTCAATTATACTTCCGATGTAGCATATGAATATGACGTTTTCATATGTGGTGTTTAGCATATAATATACATAAATATAAATGTGCAATTGAACTATCAGTTTATGCCTTTAGTTGAGATGGAGCACATGGTTCAATATTGTGAGTTTAAAAAAAATTGTTTACATTAAAGACTTGAAATGAAACACATGATTCAATTTAAGGTCTAGAAAAATTGGTTTCCATTAAAAACTTGAGAATAAGGAATAAAAATTGAGAGTAGATTTGGGAGCAGGATATAATAACAAATGAATTTGTAAAAATTGATAAAAAGTCGGTACAATATCTTCTCGTAAAGTGCTTGACCGATAGAAACCCAAGTACGTTTAGAAATTTGTAGAAATGAAGTTGTGAGTCAATTTTCCTTTACAATTTGTAGAAATTTATTTTTCTTTTACTAATTGATGGTACCATAGGGTCTAGGCCTAAGTCCAGCTAGGCTAAGAAGTAGAGAACTAGGGGTTAATTGGTTTTTGGAAATAATCATAGTCCTGGGCAAGTTTTTGGGTATATAATTTTGATTGACAAATAGAGTTAGGAGGGTCAGCTGCAAAGATCGATGGGATGTGTATAAAATAAAGAGGATGAGAGAGTTTGGAGGTTAAAGTGTGCCAAATATAAAGTATAAGGTGCTAAAACTCAAAAACAGAAAAATCAATACTAACGACGTGTTTGGCAGACTGAAATTGGAGCAATGGTGAAAAGCTTCACAAGGCAAAGAGGGGCTAGCAAGTTTTGCCCCCACACGCCTGGTTGGGATGTCGATATTGTGGCGGAAGTTGGGTGATTGGCACCGGTAGCCAGCCGGGTGGCTTTTCAATCGTTATGCCATGTAACCGTGTTCACCATTCATGGTGAACACGGTTCCAACGGTGTTAGTACATCATTATCTTTTTTTTTTCCTTAATTAATTGCGTGACTTTTCTTCTTTATTTTCACATTTCACGGTTTCACTTTAATTTGAGGTGAGCAATGATTTCAGACATTCATAAATTATGAATTCATGCCTGCAGATTCACTTTGGAGTCATGCCTACACATTCCTGTCCGAAATCACGGACATTCATAAATTATGAATCCATGCCTGCACATTCACTTTGGAACCATGCCTACACATTCACTTTGGAACCATGAGATTATGAATTTTCTGTTATGAGATTATGAATTTTCTGTTATGAGATTATGAATTTTCTGTTATGAAATTATGAATTTTCTGTTATGAGATTATGAATCTACATTACATTCATAATCTCATAACAGAAAATTCATAATTTAATAAATATTTTACTTTTATGCGATTATGAATTTTATGTTATGAGATTATGAATTTTCATTACATTCATAATCTCATAACAGAAAATTCATAATTTGATCAAACGCGCGCCGTTAACTCCACATCCGCGATTTTTTTTTTTTTTTTGCCTAAAAACAACGTCGTTTGGACTTGTGTTCACCATTCACGGTGAATAGGTTTCCAGAGCATAATTTGCGGTGGCTTTTGGGCAGGGCTCTAGTTTTCCCCTCACCCATCAGCCAACAGGCCGGCTAGCTAATCAACTGACCCACGCTCCGCCTTAGTGTAACAAGCCACCTTGGTCCCGACCAAACCATGGTGAAATATGGAAGGCTACTCGATGAGGGTGGTTTGGCCTATTGGTTGGTCCATGGGCAGTTTGGTTGTAGGCTAGTTTGTTGGTCCAGTTGATTGTCTTTTAACTTTCTTGCGAGACGTAGTAGTTTGGCGAGATATGTGACGTTTAAAAGGGGGACACGTGTGGCTATGGTTGGTGGACACTTTATTCCACTAGTTTTCACTCCCAAGAACAATGTAAAACATGGAAGGCTTTGTGAAAAACTGAAAATACCACTCTTTGACTCTCTAATAGGTGTTGCATCCATCTCCTTAGCTTCATATTTGGCTCTTGTTGATTCAAATGCATTCAAAATGCTTCAATATTCATCACTTCTATTCAAAGATGATGAATTGTGCCTAATAGATCAAATGAATAAATTAAAGATCATTTTGAACACCATTATAACACTTCATAAGCAAAATAAGGTTAAGAAGAATTCTTCACTTCTACTAAAAGCTTCATGCTCGGTATTTGACTTTGAAAGGGATGATTTTGAAGAGAAGAGAAGAAGCAAAAGACAAATTTGCCCTCATCATTTTAGCCATTAAAATTTCTAGCTATTTCTCGCTGGTAATTTTAGCCGGAGGGACATCAATTGAGAAAGATTAATGAAAAGTTGTGAATTCAAATTGACAATTTTGAAAACCGGGAACTCCAATTAACAATACCCAATAGTCAAATGACCAAAAGTGAAATTTTCTCTATATACATATATATTAAAGTTCCATAAAGCATGGCAATGACATTTTTTTTCTTCTTCTCTGATCTCATTTTTAATTCTATTGTTAAAAAGTAGGGGAGGAAAGGAGAATATATATATGTTTTATGATTACTAAAAAGTTTGAATCCAATAATAAGCGCGTGGACAAATATGGTGAGGAATATCAAATCCAATAATATAATAGAGTACAAAAGTCACTAACCAAATGCGACCCTAGTTTTAAATTATTTGGTACACTAATTCAAATCATCATTTGAGTTATTGAGGATAGATGGAAATAGAGTTTAATAGGTCCAACAATTAACTTATAAGATGTCCATGAATGCATGCTTGCAAATTAATTGCAGAGTTTTTCCAACTCTTGAACAGCTGCATCTATCTCTTCCTCCCTCATTAACTTCAAATCCTCACTCGTCTTCTTCATATTCCTCTTCAATGTCTCCCCACGTTTCCCTGCACCCATCACCTCTCCCACAACGCGGGCCAATTCTTCCCCCCGGAGCTTACCGCCGTTGTCTCTCTCGATCTCGACAGCCACTCCCTTGTCAACCAGACACCGCGCGTTCAACGGCTGCTCGAGGAACCCCGGCAGGGCGATGATCGGAACGCCGAAATTGATGCTTTCCAGAGCGGAATTCCAACCGCACTGGCTAACAAATCCGCCGATACTAGGATGGTTAAGGATCTTAGCCTGCGGCGCCCATCCTTCTATTACTCTTCCTTTTTCCTTAACCCTGTCGAGGTAGCCATGAGGGAGCGCCTTCTCGGCGGTTAGCTCTTCTCCTTTTCGGAATCTCAGCACCCATATGAAGTTCACGTTGCTGAGCTCAAGCCCGTGCGCGATCTCTGCAATTTCTTCCTCGCTCAGAAAGTATTCGCTTCCGAACGAGACTAGTACCGTGGACCTCTCGCTCTTCTTCCCGAGCCAATCCAGGATCTCGGCGTCGTCGTCGCCGCCGCCGGGAACTTCGACTATGGAGGCTACCGGCACCGGCACCACCTTGCAGTTGATCAGCTCCGACATATAGCCGATGTACTTCGCCTCGATTTCACTTGAAGTACTCACCAGCACCGCTTTCTGTGGCGCCGTCCAGTTTTCATCGGGATCTTTCTCGTCGCCCTTAACGTTGCCCTTCATTTCGTGCATTAACGATAACTCGTGGGGCTTGAAATAGACCGCCGGGAAGGGGAATGCGACGCCGGGAGCGTTTCTGACGAAATGAGAGAAAAACGAGAAAGAAGCGGCGCTGGAGATGTAGAAACGGACGGCGGGGATATCAAGCGAGTGCGCTATACCTTCCGCCCAGAGATTCATGTAATCGTATATCAGCAAATTGGGGGCGAGGGTTTTCATGACGTTAGCGAAATAGGGTTTGGACTTTCTGAAGGCATCTCGGAGAGTGCCGTAGAGATGAGACGGGAGGCCGTTGGCGGTGTGATAGTGAGGGGGGAGCTCCGGGAAGTCTGCCGCCGGCAGAAGGAGTTTCGTAAGTGTAATGGAATTGGAGTAGTTTTCAGGGATCATTTTCTTGATGGATACAAGGTTAATTTCGGTGGAACAAATGTGAACTATGAAACCTTTGTCTGAAAGCTTCTTGGCTAGTCCGACAAATGGTACGATGTGCCCATAAGCCAACCATGGAAACATAAGAACATTAGGTCTTCTTTCTAGTGACACCATGATGATTAGTCGCTTCTTTTTGCCACACTCTTTGAGCTATGAAGGATTGACATTTATACCGGATAATACTCTTGGCTTCATTTATTTATGAGAGTGTGATTGGCGTGGGTGTTTTATTTATTCAAAACTTTCTCTGCTAAATTACTTATTCTTCTGGCTTCATTTATTTATGAGAGTGTGATTGCTGTGGGTGTTTTATTTATTCAAAACTTTCTCTGCTAAATTATTTATTCTTCTGGCTTCATTTATTTATGTGTGATTGGTGTGGGTGTTTTATTTATTCTAAACTTCCTTATGCTAAATTAGGGTATCCCAAATTTGCCAGAATAATTAATCCTAAGCTTACTGGACCTGTCCCTAGAGCATTATAGAGGTAAATTGCAAGTTGTCGCACAATAAGCTCACATGTCAGATCCTAATCTTTGTGTGTACAAGTAAGGGATTCAATTTAGACCTTCAATTATCTTTGGGCCTTTTTTCCCATACATGTTTCCAGTGGGATTCTAATGTAGCAAAGTAGTTGTGATGGTGAGTGTACGGGTGTACAATGTCGTCCTCAGGAGATATGGGGTTATGACACGTAATATGCAACAACAATAAACTAGGCACTATCACTAGGAAATCAACAAAAAGTTAAGCAAATACATAGTTTCAAGGTTACGGTAACTAAACAAGATAACCAAGTAATCAAGTTCATGAAGGTATCCTAGTCTAAGCTACTTTCATGAGCAAATAAACAAGGATTAGAATAATGAATTGCTTCACTCTCGTGATGCATCAACTCCAAAAATATCAAAGCCCCTAATTTCCCCTATTTTTATAGGAGCAAATTGGGCTTATGCTAAGGGTGGCTCAAATCTTTAATCCAACTCTCATTGTAACCAAGAATTCTCTAAAAGCAGGCTAATGAATGTGTAATCAAACATTAACTATATTCACAACACCATCTTAGACACATGAACCTTAGGTTAGAATTCTACTCATTATGCAACTCTAACTCAAGCCATAAACTAACTAGTTATGATTCAATAGTATAAAGAACACAAAAGCATAAGTGTAAAACATAAACATTGGCGAGATAAAGAGATAAAAGGGAAATAAAGCTTATCTATTAAAATGGAAGGTAGAATCTTGAAATCCAAGTGTAGATCCTTCAATAATACAAGCTTCAAAAGTGTAAAGGAACCTAAATCTACACCTATTCTAACCTAAAAATATGAAGAGAAAGAGTAGGAAATAGTTAGGGTTCGTGTATTGTTTGAAACCAAGTAAAAATGGGTAAAATCGTGCTTAAATACTAACAGAGCATAGTGGCACGGCCGTGCCAAAATCAGCCCAAAAACTTATGCTTACGGCCTCAATGCATGGCACGGCCGTGCCTTTTGACCTTCAAAACTTTGAATTTTGGATTGATGGTCTTCATGAAAGTTCTAACCCTTCTAGTTTATTTCTAATGGATCAAAAAACACCTCATTTGGACATTACTAGACTGAAATATGGTCAAAATACCAAAGAGTGGTCGAGATGAACGAAAATTCTAATGCCTTGATCTTTTGCTCATCTTTTTCCTTAGTTTGCCCAAATGATCAAGACCATTGAAAACTCCACACTATGGCTCTCCAAGAGGTGCTGCATTCATCTCCTTAACTTCATATTTGGTTCTCATTGACTCCAAATGCATCCAAAATGCCTCAAAAGCACACAATTGTCTTCAACTCAACAATTTATACACTTGATTGAATATATAAACAAATGAATTACTACACTTTTTTTGCATAAAAATAAAGTATTTATCACTCAGAATAAGTTTAAATATGAAGTAAAATTATCAAATTTAAACTCCACACTGTGGTTCCCTATCATGGCCTTTAAGTCAGACAACAAACTAATTACGTTAAGCCTCGAGACCATCTAAATTAGTTATTAATTGGACAGATAGATGTTATGTTGTCTATACTTCTTCTCTCTGTATGATCACCACATGATTATTTTTTAAATTTTGGATCTCAAGATCAGAGATCAAGATAGATGTTATGTTGTCTATATATACTTCTTCTCTCTGTATGATCACCACATGATTATTTTTTAAATTTTGAATCTCATCAAGATCAGAGATCAATTCGCTTGTTTTCATAAAGGGAAATAAATATTGTCTATATATACTTCTTCTCTCCGTATGATCACCACATGATTATTTTTTAAATTTTGAATCTCATCAAGATCAGAGATCAATTCGCTTGTTTTCATAAAGGGAAATAAATATTGTCTATATATACTTCTTCTCTCCGTATGATCACCACATGATTATTTTTTAAATTTTGAATCTCAAGATCAGAGATCAATTCGTTTGTTTTCATAAAGGGAAATAAATACCGTGGACAGATATCCATGTAGAGCATATTTAGGAGTTTATAGCTTATTTTAAGTTACTACTAAGCTATAAACTTTATTTGATAATGTTCTCAAAATAAGTTAGTACTTCTTAACTTTTTTTTTTTTTTTTCCATTTTTATCTTTATTATTTTAAAGAAATGATATCATTTAATCTTTTCAATTAAAACCTTCCACTTCTCCTTTATCCGCATGACAAATCGATTAAACATTTTAAAGAAATGACAAATCCTTTATCTGCACCTTTATCCATTATTATTATTATTATTATTATTATTATTATTATTATTATTATTATTATTTTAAGATTGATTATTTAATATATATGATGAATAAAATGAAGATGTTATAGGATGTTAGATCGTGATTATGTTAATAGTTTTATTTCAAATTGTTATATTTAATTTGTTTTAAGACAAAATGTTAAATTTTAATATGTAAACAAATTAATTTAAATTTTATGAAAATGTCCTTTTTAGTCTTTCCACATTTATCAACTTATCAAAACAGCTAATTTTATCAAACATTTTCAAGCATAACAGCTAGCTTAACAATTCTTCAGTTTTTCAGCTCCTAGCTTATAGTTTTTCACCTTTCAACTACCTTTTCAGCTAGGTTTACCAAACATGGCCGTAGATTTGGAGGGAGTAAATGGGATATGGCATGGAATTAGCTAAGATTATTGGGATGAGGGTCAAGTCATAGAAGTATTTAGAAAAATGTAACTAGGTCATACAATTACAAAGAGTACGTATTAACTAATGAGGTGTTTGGTTGGGAGGAATGAATTAAAAAGAAAAGTAATTGTAATTTGGTGAGAAAATAATAATGTAGGAATAATAATAACAATCGCCAATGATACTTTTGTTATTTTTTCTATTTTTTTCCTACAAGCATTGAATTGCAATTCATGGGGGTACCCCATGAATTTCAATACCCCCATGAATTGAGGAATTTCAATTCAGCAAAAGGAGGGAATTGTAATTCGGTGGAATTGCAATTCCCTCCACCCAAACAACGTAATTGAGGCATTCATTGACTTACAATTTAATTACAACTCAATTACATTCAACGAAACGCCTTATAATAAGCATTTAATTACGACTATTATTAAACCATTTCCATTAAAGATACAATTAAATTGTTTAAACCTTCCCCAAAAAAGGTTTTTGAATCTCCAACCCCAATGACTCCCATACCCCGATCCAATAGAACATATGGGAGGATATATATAAATCACGGTAATTCAATGACTCAACGGAAAAGGCAAAATGACTGTGTGCACTATCAAGTTTTGAACTTTGGTCTCTTCTCCTAAATATACGGCTTACTGCACCAGTAAGTTAAGTCCGTGCAAAAGCTACTTAAATTAGTTATTGGTTATGTTTGAAAAGGTAGCTGAAAGCTGAAAAGCTATAAGCTAGAAGCTGAAGAGTGAAGAGTTGTATGTTAAGCTAGCTGATTACGCTTAAAAGTGTTTGGTAAAATTAGTTTTTTGATAAGCTGATAAATGTAAAAAGACTAAAAAAGTATCTTCATAATATTTAAATAGTTTTAAATTTAAATGTTGTTTACATATTAAAATTGAACATTTTGAAATGGAACTATATTTAAAAATATAGAAGAAGAAAAATGTCAAATGTTTTAATTGGAAAGAGTAAATGATGTCATTTATTTAAAATAATAAGGATAAAAATAGAAAAAAAAATTAAAAAACTTCTAGCTTATTTTTAAAAAGTAAGAATTCAAAATAAGTTCTTATTCTAAGTTACTAACTTATTTTGAGATATTATCAAATAAAATTTATAACAATAATTTAAAATAAGTTATAAACAGCTAAATAAGCTCGATCTGACAAATAGAGCCATTGATAGGAGAGATAGATGTGGTCCCTATACTACTTCTGTAGGCTGTATATATTGTATTAGAATGGTGATTTTCGTGGGAATTATATTACTAATTCTAGTGTACAATATGTGGGAATTATATTAATAATTCTAGTGTACAATATGTTTTACGTACTGCTTTGGGATAGCACTTGTAATTTAATATAGTTAATTGGGAAAATGACAGTATGAATTTATTAGTTAAAATTTTATAAAAATCGCGCTTAGGTGCTAGGTAGTGGTTGATCGTTTAGAAATTATCGAAATCGGTTGATTTATGCGGTTGCCGGTCGGCTGCCTAGGTTGTGGCGGACCAGGCGGTGGTCTAGGCAGCCAATGATTAGCTATTGTTTCGTTTTTTTAATAGGTTATTTTACTCAAAACGTCGTCATTTTGAGCGAAATAATCTTAAATCATTCAAATCGGTCAACGTAAACCGAAAAAATGAAAAAAAAAATGAAATCAGTAGTGTTCTACATTAATACGTATTCACACGTATTTGAATGAATATTTAACAAATTTTGAAAGGATTAAAGAAATACTAACAATTTTATTATCTAAATATTTAATAAAACACGGATAGTTGGACAATTATTTGCTCGAATTCAAGCAAGGATAACATCAAAAAACATAATCAATACAACTCATTTCTTCAATTGCACTATATAATATTCGTTGTTATAATTTATATTTGTATATTAATCAAAATATTCTTAAAGATTATAACAAATTTATTCCGTGCAACTCACACGT